ATTATTATTATTATTATTATTATTATTATTATTTGTATCTTAAGTCATGAGGGATCAGCCCGGCAGAAACCAACTTAGAAAGTTACAAAAATCCAGTTCTGCATCATCCATTCAACATCATTAAAGGATAAAAATAATTTCACTTGGACAAAAGGATCTCTTGATGATGACAATAATCTGTTTCTCAAATTTAATTTCACCCAGGGCTGCAAGAGAAATGCTGCACATTTGTACCAGGATCAACAATTATATTTTAATTTTATCCTTGTTTAGMTTTAAAAAGTTTGAAGCAATCCAGGCTTTAACCTCAGAACAAATGTACTTTAATTAACAATAAATCTGAGTGACATTTGTGTATCAGAAAACATAAAAACACCTCTCTGAAGTGATGCACATCAGTAATAGTTTTAGTTTTGTATTATTTCATCTAAATTTTCTTTTTCTTTCTTCTTCAGGTGATTCTTGCTCTGGTCATGCTCTTCATTGCGTGTTGGGGAGCCAGCATCATCTCTGTCAACTACTTCAACTACAACCGAGGCTCCTCGACMAATTTCCTCTTGGTCATCMCTCGTTTTGCCAACACCARCTTCATCGCCTMGTCACCAGTGGTTCTYGRGGTGGGACACAGGGGTCTGCGTTCCTGCATCAAATCCACACTCACATACTGAGGCGGCCTCAGAGCGACGGCAGATACATTTTTATATAATTATAAACCATCTGAAAAGTCCTTCAGTTCAATGGACTATTAAGCTATAGTTATCAAAATTTTATGTGCATGACTGGATGATTGTTTTTTTGATATGATGTCTTTTTTTTAACAAAACATATTTAAAAAATGCTAACATTGACTGTACCTGAACAAAATAAAAGAGAAAACACACATTAACATTCTTTTTCTTATATTGTGAATTACTTGAGTGAAAGTAATCAACCAGACTTAATGTCTTGACATTTTTTTATTGAGCTGAAAGTAATAAAAGTGTTTTACAGCAGATAAAACAAAGAAATAAGTCAACAAACCCAAAAAGAAGCTATAATGATTGAAATATGAAAACTAAGTATAAAAAGCAAGAATAAAATTCTAAAATCAAATACTTAAGGAAAACAATTATCATTGAAAAAAACATACACATTGACCAAATATGTTTTAAAAACTGGATATTGTCCGGTTCGAATTCTAGATCTTATTAAAAATTCTTGGTTTGAAGCAGACTGAATATTTTGTTTAAAGAGACTTGACAGTTTTAAAAACCATGCTCTAAATAAGAAACCAAAGACAAAAAACGTTCACTCCAGTTGTTATTTTAAATAATCCTGTCTGTCAAAGAATGAACAGTTATTTTAATCAGAACTTCAAACATTTTTTATTAAATCTCTGTGAAAACTAATATAAATGTACAAACAGTTTGTTTAGTTTTAGAAGCTTCCTGATGTAAAATCAGTTATTTGAAACAAACTTCTAAAAAGTAAGTCTCTGTACCTCAAAAATGTATAATATTTTATATTCTTTTCCCGTGAATGCTGCATGAAATACCATGTAGAGCTCAATTATTGTTTCTTAGAGATGCTCGTAGCAATGAAACAAGGAATGTGATGTTTTCTGTTTTTCATCAAAGTTAAACATAAAACATGGGAGTTAATTACAACTGGCCCTTTGAGGGCAAGCAAAATGCTCATGTGGCCCTCGGTGAAAATGAGTTTGACATCCCTGCTTTAGTAGATGAGGTCGATAGTTTCTACAAATAAAATCATATTTAGGATTTTTAGCAAAAAGAAATTTCAAACAAAATAAGTCATTTTGGATTTTATCACCTGCTTGAGTTCACTGCCTGATTTCAGACTTATTCTTGGAAATGGTAATCCATGCCTTTATCTCAGCCCATCTTGACTACTGTAACAGCTTGTTCACCTGCTTAAATCAGAAACAATTAAACCAGCTCCAACTCGTTCAAAACTCTGCTGCTAGACTTCTAACTAGAACATCTAAATTCTCCCACATCACCCCTATATTATCAGACCTCCACTGGCTACCTGTACAACTCAGACTCAAGTTCAAATTCTTGGTTCTCACTTTTAGAGCTCTACARGGCCAAGAGCCAAATTACATCTCTGGTCTTCTCTCGCCTTAGAACCCAAGACGCAACTTGCGCTCATAAGACCAGAATCTTCTGTTGGTCCCRGGTACCCGCTTCAAGACCCTGGTGACTGTGCCTTTTCCTCAATGGCTCCCAGACTGTGGAACACCCTTCTGTCCTATCTAAGGTCTCTTGATAACACTGACTCCTTTAAAAAAACAACTAAAAACACAGCTTTTCACTCGAGCATTCAACTGAATATATTCTAACCTCACAACTTGAGTTTATAAGCCCTGACTAACAAACGTGTGTGTTATTCTGGTCTAGTATCAATCCTCTCCACCTATAAGTGTGAGAGATAAATTTAACACCGTTCTGTTTTTGTTTCAAATATTGAATGTATTGAATGTATAACTTGTACAGTTATTGTGATAGATTTGCTTTTTCTTTCTGATAATGGATTTACAACACCTTGTGAAATCATTTTCTGTGAAAGGCTCTATATAAATAAACTTTTACTTACTTACTTACTTACTTACTTACTTATTCTTATCTGATCTCTGAAGAAATATGTGTTTTAACATTTAAACCTTTTCTTTACTGAAGCATCAGCTGTTTCATTGAACTTTTCCCTCCACTGTTATAACCCCCACCTCTCTTTTGACAACAGAACCCGTTGACTTCCTTTCAGTCTTTGTGGATTTGCTCCTGTCKCCACACTCCTCAGTGTAACATTGCAAACCTTTAGTCCACACCTGAATCATACCCTTGATTTTCCTCCTCAGCTTCCCGTGTCCCAGAGCTACCACCAGGGGACTGAATCCTACAAACAGCGAGGCAGAGAAATGGGCCACAGTTAGCAGCCCGTGGGCGTGGCGCCCCCTGTCGTAGTTGTAGTATGTCACTGCAGCAACCTGCAGGACCCAGCAGACCACAAAGAGCGTCACCAGTGCCATGATCACATGAGCCGCCTTACGCTCAGAGGACACATGTTTGTCCAGCTCCCCCTGACTTCCCCCTAACTCTGTCCCCGAGGTCACCGCTCGGATGTGCTTGATCAGAGCCTGAAGGGTGCCCAGGTTAGTGAAAACCATCAGCATCAGAGGCAGAACCTCATTGACAGCGAGTGAAGTGGAGGCAAAGGCCGAGCCCTCCTGGATGGAGGGGAACTTCCACACACAGCCTAACAGAGGCCGAATGGTGCAYCTTATCACCATCAGCTCTACGGTGGCGTTGCCTCGAACGTGAGAGGTGTATACCAGCGCGGGGGCAGAAAAGGCCAGGTTGGCTCCCCAAACCAGTCCCATAACTATCCACACCCGCCGCCTCTCCCTCTGCAGCGTGAGAGGTCCAAACGTCACACGCTGCCGCCTCAGGGTCGTWAGGTGGAAGACGCTGAGCGTTAGAGTCATCCAGCAGCCCACGGCTCGGCTCCACATCCACAGCAGCATGAAGACCCTGCACCATCCCGGAGACAGAGACACATCCAGACCRAGGTCTGAGATGAAGATTGGCAGCGTGCGGAAGAGTGAAGTTAGCAGGTTGGCTAGAGACAGGTGAACTAAAATGGTATCGGAGAGGGGGAGTCTTCGAGAAGGACTCTCAAACGAAGACTGGAACACCTGAAACAAGCCAGACTGAGGTCAATCCCAGGCCTTCCTTGCAAAAGAGATCTGCAGTCTCAYTGGGATTTGCCTGGTTAAATAACAGTAAAAAAATAACAAACACCAAACATTTCTTCTACTTAAAGGCATAGTCTGATCATTCTTGGGATGTTTTGTCAAACAGTTATTATTTTATCWGTCAGTAAATAGAAAGAAGCAAAAGWCTTCCTCCAGATTAATGACTAGTAAATGTCGATTTTCTGACATTGCTGACCAGTTCATCCTGAGTTAAAGGAGACGTATTCTGCCTTTAAATCCTCCTTTTTTACATTTAAATCATCCATTTGGTGTTTAAAGTGGAACTGCAATATTTTGGGTGGAATTCTTCGTTATTGTAACTCCAAGCCCCCTTTTCACCCATTTTCTAATGTCTGTTTCAGTTCAGGGCGGTGGCTCAGTTGGTAGAGCTCATGCTGGTAATATTTTATTTGAAGGAGAGTGCATYGCATAGGACTGTCATGACACTGTCATGAATATGACATAAAACCTGTCATGAACTTAAATAAGTCCTCATGAATATTTATGACTGTTTTCTTTAAGTGTCATTCAGTAAATTATGACACTTTTAATGCAAAGTTGACATTGTTTAAAATGTCTTGACATTAACCAAGCAATCATAACCTGTTATGAAAGCTGTTAAGTATCAACTTTAACATTTTATCACTGTCWTTTGTTGTTAGTCTTAACTTTGGCTMGCAMGAGACCAATATATGTCATTAATATTRTCCKMRACCTCAAGTAAAGTGGAACATGTTAGACTAGTTATAAAGATGTCGTTAAGTGTCATTACACTGATAAACACTTATAAATACTGTAACTTGTCAAGACARGTTTGTCTTGGTTAATGRCAAGTTGTCATAACAAAGACATTTAAATAACTTTGCATTAAAAGTGTCATAATTTACCGAATGACACTTCTGGTGCCGAAACCAGGGATAGTTTTGTTAGCAAAATATTCGATCATTAATTCTCACAGAAAACTGTAAAATCAAAGCTTGTCTGTCTCTGTCTCGCCCAGCTTCCTTGCCTTTTTCTGAACTGGAAAATAGCTACGTTTTCCAGTTTCTTTTTGCAGCATATTATTCTTTCTCTTACAAGGAAATAATATTTTTTGTTGGAGTATTGTTTTGGGCTGCTCAGCCTGAAACCTTGAGCCATCACCCTTGCTGTGAGTTTTCAAAGTTCCTGACGGACCTGTTGGTTCTGAAACACTGCCATGTTGCTGATAACTCCGAGTCCATGAGAAGGGGCCTGTTTTACCCATTCGGCTGACCAAGAGAGGCCTCGGTCTGTGCTGTTCAACAAGCATCTACCCAGAGCTGACGTCTGGTCTCGTTTGGAAAGGTTCCCGGGCTACGGTAAAGTTCCTGACGTGTGCTTAACTTTGGTCCACAGGCTCACAGCTGAAACACATCATCTAGAGAACCTTAAAAGCTTTGTTTGTCTTACTTGTATGTCTGTCTCTCTCTCTGTGTCTCTCTCCCATTCTTTCTCTCTCTCTCTCTCTCTCTCTCTCTCTCTCTCTCTCTCTCTCTCTCTCTCTCT